AAAAATTGTTGTTTTTTTTTTTTTTAAAAAAATTTCGGGACCCCCCCACCCGCCCCTTTTTGGGGTTTTTTTTTTTTTTTTTTTTTTTTTTTTTTTTAACATTTTTTATTTAATTTTTTTCTCTTATTCTCGGCATCAAATCCACAAAACATGCTAAGTGTAGCAGGTAAGCAAGTAGGTCACAGCTGCTGAACAATCGGTAGACAGACTGCATCGACGCGGTGTAAAAGTCGAAGTGCTTTCACCCTACGAGTCGCACTCGCCACTTCTCACAGCAGTTTGCACATGACGAAGCAATGTGGGATTCGCTTCGCTGCTGATAGACGCATGATGACTATAGAGGAGGAAGCTGCATCCCAAATGTCAAGGGGGGTGGAGGGAACTTTTCCATGTTGAGTCACGTCTGACCTTCAGCCCTGATAACAGGCGAGTGAGAGACAGAAAAGGAAAAAAAAAGAAACTCTGTAAAGTAAAGATGCTGACGGAGAAAGCCATCTTGGAAATCACCCATTTCATTAAAATCAATAAGACGTTAATGTATTTATTTTTGAAAATGTAGATGTCACATGTCGACATAAACAAAAGTTTTAAATGAAATATAGTAGATTGGGGGGAAAAAACTCTTTCATAATATACTTCTCTCAAAAGTCAATTCACTGCAGCGTAAGCAACTAAACATCAGTCATTCATATAAACATACTTGCATATATTTTTACATATGAAGTTAATTATAAAGAAAAGATATATTTGTAACAATACAGCACTCTACTGAATTAATATGCTTCATTACATGTTGGTAGAATATTATATTTTCTTATTTTCTTAAAAGTAAAAATTGAAGAAATGTGATCATGTTGAATATGTTTATTTCTAAATGACGTTTTTTAATCTGATCCTCTCAAATTATAAATGTTTCTTTTAATAAACCCTTTTTTTGTAAATGTTCTGGTAATGTACTATTATGTAAATTAAACATAACATAGCAGAATATAATAGTCTGACAAGTCGTGAAATTTAATTATTTAATTATTTAATTAATCTTTAATCTCTCTCCAGCGCTGTGCTGTACTTAACTTATAAGCTTGGCATGTAAATATGCACGTTGTTCAAGTAAAGGTTTCATTGGCTCATAAACAACATGTCTTAAAATCCCTGGTTTTCCAGGTTTTCATATTCAGGAAGGTAATTTTGTTTCAAACATTCATTTAAAAATGTCAACTTTGAACTGTTTGTGCTTCAGTCGAAGGATAACTCATCGTTGCAATAACTACATGTTACATTGATTTTATTCAAAGTCCATTGTTGTGTTTTTTAAAGTGAAATTTGCTGCTGAGCACACCAGACAGACTCTCTCTGCTCATCTTTTCTATCGCGTTTGAGACTCTACATCGCTGACCGCAGTATAAGACCATATGACATGCTGCTGTGAAGTAAGTGACCCTCTGCAGGAGAGAGGCTGTTAGGTCAAAACAGGTCATGAGATTAATGTCCGTTATGTGATGGATGGATGGATGGATATTTTCACCCTTTACCTGATTCACTCAACTATATAAAACATCAGTTCATGTTCCAGACAGGACAATCCTCATGTCTGAATTCTGATGAACGAAAAAGAAAACTAGAAAATGATCAGCTATGTCTTTGACACTTTCCAGCTCACCTTTCTCTGCCTGACAGAAGCGACACAGATAACTTTGTTTTTCTTATCATTTCCTCCACATCTCCACGGAAGGTAAACATTTGTGCTCCGACTGTCTCTCACCGCGGAGATCTTCGAGAAGAGCCGGGCTGTTTTGGACCGACATCAAAATAGAATCACATCAGTATGGTCGGTTTCTCATGCACAGTATGGTGTCCGTCTTTAAAAGGCGACCGGCTGCCTTTTAAATACAGTACAGAGAGACGCTGTTGGCTTGGTAGCGCCGTGTGACCCTTTGGTCCAGTTCTGGCGAAGCCGTGTAACAGTTGAGTGGACCAGGACGTTTGTGTGGATCTGCAAAACACCACGGACAATGAACCTACAGTGAAATCTCAATTGTTCCAATTTTCCTACGTTTTTTTTCTGCTTTCTTAATTTTTCGTGTCTTGCTTTCACTTTTCAGATGCCATTCGACTCTCACGTCAATCGAGATGTTACATTTTTCACTGCGTTCATCGATTCCTGCCGCGTTCCGCCTCTCTGGGTCGAGCGTTGAAGCGGCTGCCATGTTCAGCTGAACTTGATCGGCGTGGACGGCTTTTAATCGTCCTGGCCAAAGTCTCTGTGATGGTTGGCACACCAATGGCTGATGGTGTTTCCTGTTGTAGGAAGGGACATGCTGGATCATTCTCAGTTCGGGGTTATTGTGGTTGAGCCTAATAAGAAGCAGAATTCAATTTCTGCAAGTCTGGCACACAAACGAGTTATAAAAGGAGCAAAGAAAGAAGACGGATTTGGAGAGGGCCAGAATAAAAGAGAATAGTATAATAAACCAGCATGGAGAGAGAGAGGGAAAAAAATAAAGAGGAAAGAAAAAGAAAGGCTTGATCCCATTATTGTTTCAGCTGAGGAGAAGCTGCAGCTAGAGGGCTTTCAGACAAAAGCTCTGTGGTGCGGCAAAATGTCTACAATTATAGCTCTATATCATGAGGAGATGAGCGGCACGTGTGGTCGCGCATGTCAGAGGGAGATGGATATATTACCGCAGCAACTCCTCTGTCAGGTTTATGAGTCCCCTGGTTGTGGCAGGCGTTATCTTTGCTCAATCTTGCAGTCAGCTGACGCCTGTTCGCTCTCCAGTGTGGTTGGAGCGGAACCGGAGGCCAGAGCAGCCACTTCGAAAGACATGTCAGGTTATAGTCTCTGGATTTTGAAACGGGAAGGCTGAGTTTTACTGTAGAGGTAAGGTGCAGCTCAGTGTATTTTATGGGGATTTAATGTGACAGAGCAAAACAATAGAGTGTGTATTTGGGAGGTTAAAGGGAAAGTGTTATTAATTTATGACACACGGTGCCATTTTATTGCACAATCATGCAGCTGTTACCTTCAGTTGTCATAAAAACTTTAATATGTCAGAAATTACTTCAAAGAAATTTGACTTTGTAATTCAATACCTTGAAATTGGGTCTCTGTCTCTTTAAAATCTCCTGCTCTTTCCAAAACTCCGCCTTCAGGAAGTCATCACAACATGGCTCCTCTATTGACCCTTCAACAACGTTTTTACCAGCGTTGCTCTGATATGTAGTGGATGGTCAATTACACCAAGTGTTTGCTAATTGCTGTTGGCTAGTCTGGAGGAGTTCAGTGGAGGAGGAAGCTTGGAAACTGCGTTTCGGAGGATGAGCTGCGTTGTCGAAGGGCTCTCCAGCCCTCCGAGTGTTTTGCACAGCTGGATGGTTGCTATGGGAGGTTAAATTATTTCTCAAACATATATAAAAGAATCAAAGTAAGCTTTTGATGAGGAAATAACATGATGTAAAGCTCAAAACAGCTGACTCTGCACAATACAGCCTCTTTAAAAGGAAGAGATGTATCGGTTTTCAAAGTTTTCCTCAACAAATGATCTGAAAAGTGTGTCGTGCCAATGTATGCAGCCCAAACGAATTGATGCTTGTTTATCACTGCCACCTTTTCCCACAGCTGCAAGTCATTTGCGGTACGTCTCCAGCAGATACATAATTTTCACCCACCCCAATTTTCTCTGCAAAAGCTCCAGACTCAGTCAAAGATTGACTGCAAAAACCAAGTGTAGCGTCTTGCCACCGAGTCTCAGCTGGATTTAGGTTTCATACCAGGGCCGATTTATTGTAGTGCTAACAGGTATTTAGCTTCATCCGTCTTCCCATCAGCTCTGACCCGCTTCGCTGTTTCGTGCCGCAGAAAACCAACCCTGCAGCTTTGCTCAGCCAACACCACAACAAGGATGATGTGTTCAGGATAATATGCTTTGATAGTTTTCATGTTAGCTCTTTTCCCAGTTACCATGGGCAGATTAGAAAGTTTCCAGATATTTCAGAGCAGAGTGTGGATCGGTGGGTTATTTATTGATTGATTTTTTTTAAATAACCTTGTTTTAAACTTCTTTGTGGCTTTAATGGCGTCCTGCCTGCTGTGTTGTTCATGATGCCGTAATATTCTCCAATAAAACAACTTAAGGAATTCACAAAACAGTTGGACTTACAGGAACAGGTAATATTGTGGAAAAACTTCAATGTTTTTGTCACTTTTTTTCAGACTAAGTGAAGCATATCTATATTTTATAGATTTACTGTGCAGTGAAATGTTTCAAACAATTATTTCTCTTAGGTTTCATAAGTTTGGCTCAGAATATGATACAAAAATTCAGCGTCTCGGAAAATTTAAATGCTCCCCAAGGTCAATAAAAAAGGATATTTTGAGGGAAATTTCAGACTTCTGAAAGGTTCATCTCTATTTGCTCAGTACTTGGTTGGGGCTCCTTTTGCTTGAGTTACTGCATCAGTGCGGCGTGGCACGGAGGAGACAGCAGTGGAAGTCCAGGTTGCTCCTCCATCTCATCTGCATTGTCAGGTCTGATGTCTGTAAACCCTCTATAGATTCTCTAAGAGGGTTAGTTCACTTTAGGTCAGGTCAGGAAGTGCTCCAGAAGGTCCTCAGAAAATGCCGACTGTGGACTCTATTCAGAACCAGGACCAGAACCGGATGATGTGAAACTCTACATCATGGCTGACTGGAAACCTCACTCTGGACTTGGAGCAAAGTAGCTTCTGTTCTGCTCCATTCTTCCTCCCGACTCTGGGATCTTGGATTTCCAAATGAAATGCAAACTTTACGCTCATCAAAAGTGGACTTTGGACAACTGAGGTCTTATTCTCAGTTGTCCAAAGCTCAGGTAAGACGCCTCTGATTGACGTCGGTGCGCAGCAGCTCTCTACTCCAGTCTCGGTCCGCTTCCCGAATTCTTGAATTTGCTTGAAAATCCTCTCAAAACTTCCGTTATCCCAACTTTTTCTACTGCACTTTTTCCTCCCACACAACTTTCCATGACAGAGCATGTGATAAAGCACATGACTTTAGCAATGACCATTTGAGATTGTTTAGAGGCTCAGGAAACATTTGAAGGTGTTTTGAGATAATTAGTTGACTTTGGGTGTGACACCATTTTGAATATTTCACTTTTTTTTTCTTTCTTTTTTTTTTACATAATTCCAACTTTCTGAGATTGACTGAATTTTCAAGAAGTAAAGGCTTGAAATATTTTTATGTAAAATGAATCAATATTACATACGAGTTTCACTTTCTGGAATGAAAATATTCAACTTTTATTTTCTACCTTATAATTTTTGGAGATGTAAATGCACAGTGAGGAAAAAAAGTACTTAAATAGATTGAACTGGGTTTTTATGTAAATCTATGTATAAGAGTTCGTTCAACGTTCAGATTTTTATTTCCAAATTTTAAAACTGATATAACATTTCACTGTGTTACTTTGTGCTACTGTGAGTTGCTCTGTGACAAAAAAGCTCAATAAAAGTCAAAATTTTAACATAAACAGTTTCAAGGGATCTTTTTACTTTTGGGAGGCTCTGCTGCTGTTGTGTTGAGCTCATGGTGTGTTTGCAGCTTGGAAGTAATTTGCAGCTGTTATTTTTTTTTTTATTTTTTTTTTGAGCATTGCCAGGGTCACCTTAATGTCATGGCTTACATCCTGGGCCTGTCAGCCAGCAGATCATCCATGCATTATTGCTGCGTTTACTGGCAGAGCCGTCCACTGACTCACATGGCAGAAACATACAACACCAGAATAAATGTGAACCCCAGGAAAAACAAAACAAAACGGTATAACGCTTGTTTAAAATCTGGCTAGTTTAAAATCTGGCTTGACGACCACCGCCAGACAAGACGTGGACACCAACTGGATCTTTCTCTCTTTTTCTATTTCTCTTCTTCTCTCGTCCGTGTTCGGTCATCTCCGTCTCTCCCTTTCTCGCTTCTCTTTTTTTTGGGGGGGGGCGGGGGGGGGTTCCAGATCTTTCCATCGGACTTGTCAGCACTCGAAGGAACCGGCGCCGCTGGATCCCCGAAACAACAGGCTACGGTCACGTGAGTCTCAGCATGAACCGGACCGGGACTTGACCCTGGAGCGGCACTGAAACTCCAATGACCTCATGAGGCACAAGAGGAGAGAAGACTCATCCCTCTGGCAAAACAAGCTGCTCAGAGAGTTTAAAAAATATATAAAAAATCTCTGGGAGAAGTGTCGTCTCCAGACAGCTTGAAATGCTGCAAAACTGGAAGGCAAGAGTACATGAGACAAAAAGAAAAAAAAAATAACATGCTGGAACACAGACATCCTGTTAGTAGTGATTTAAGGCATGAGGGGACTCTGGGAAATATACCTCATGATACAAAATTTTATATCCTTTATGTGTTATGTAGTTGGAGCCAGGAAGCTGTTGGGATTGGGCGGGAGGGAAAACAGGTAGACGGAGTCTGGTGGAACCTCAAAAATGCATCTGAAGCTCCCTGTGGGAAGATAAAGCAGAACTGGCACTTTTAGCTTTGTGATGATGCAACGCTATGAGTCTGAGGTAAAAGATTCAGGGTTTCCACTGCAGGAGAACAGATTAGAAGCAGAAAAATCATAAAGGTGGGACCAGGATGTCCCCTTCATTTTTTTATTATTTAAATTGATGATTTATAAACCTGACTGCTCTTTAACTACAAAAAAAGTTATGTGTCAAATAGCAGAGGTTCTATTAAGCTCACCAAGACTTGGTAAAGTATTAATGTATAAAAGAAGTTAGAGAGAAATGTTATTTTGGGTGAAATATCGACTCTAAACACTGACAAAAAATCCTGAGATCCGGACCTGAAGTGG